TATATATATATATATATATATTATATCTCCCTCACAAAATAGATTCCAACTTCTCTATAAATGAAACTTGTTACACATGCCTATAAAAAGAAAACAGAAAACTTAGTCATGGAGTTGTGGGTATCATAAAAAATCGCACGATATATCCACCTTAAGACTTCACTAATTCACTTCATCTTATAAGATTATTTTATATTTGGAACACCGTAAATTTATGTTTATAGATATTGCAGAAAAATTGTATGTAAATATTGTTTCTACTACTTAAAATTTTTGGATCCGTTACTGCATACTAACTTATATTCATGTACAAGTTGTAATGAAAGAAGATAATCTTAATGCTTTAAAATCTGATCTATTCACATCTCTAGTTATGCTTCACAAAATAGAAAACAATATTTTTTGTTTGTGCATAAAGTTGGGATTTTAAAGGAAAAAATAGTCAACATTAGGGATGATAACAAAACCCTTAAATGTAGATATCCATGAATAAAATCTGTCATGAATTTTAAATGAATAATTAAATAAATATTCATTTAATAATGTGATAGGTACGAATAGGCATAGATAGTAAGGTACTATCCCATTATCCTTCCTAATCAACATATTCAAATTCATTATTAAGGTAACTTTTACTAAACTATTACATCACTCAATAACTTTATATTAAATGTGAATTTTATCGATCTAACCGTTGAATTATAACTTATAAGTATGACCATCAGTTTGCAAATAACCTCTCTACTTCTGTCAAACAAAATCTAACAAGGATGTATAATTGGTATGTTGCTGCCCATGAGCAACATCATAAACAAACACAGTCAGGTGCTGAACAATTTGGTAATTGTTCAACTGGAGGAATAACAAATCCTATTGAAATTCCTTGTCATATGGCTAGGAAATATGCCTTTAAGGCACATTTGAAAGAAAAAAGTTATCTTGACCAAAAAAATGAGCTTGAGACTTATTTGGCTGAGGCAAATGTTGATGCTGATGATAATTTTGAGTTACTTTTATGGTGGAAGCAAAGTTCATCTCGCCTCCCAATATTGTCAAATATGGAAAAAGATGTTTTTGCCACCCCTGTGTTAACAGTGGCATCTGAAAGCGTATTCAACACTGGTGGAAGAGTGTTAGATACCTTTAGAAGCTCCCTCAACCCAGAAATGGCTGAGGCATTAATCTGCTACCAAAATTGGTTGAGACCTTGTTTGTTGCAATTTAAAGAGGTTAATCCAGTTGAAGAATTAGAAAGCTCTGAAAATATTGTAATAGGTAACATTTATTCTTTTCCCACTATCATTTATAATATTTTTATTTTATTATTTGTTAATTTTTAGTTTTTTTTCTGTCATGTTCCTAAGAATTTCAAAAGGGAACTACTAGATCCCAAGGAGCTGGAGTTGTAGCATCAAGGGTTGGGATTGAAGATGGTGGAGTTGGATCATCATCTCAATCATAGCCAGTGGTTACTAGCTGAAAGTATATTCATTTATTTATTTTGTTATTTTCTTGCTTTTTTATTTTAGTTAAATATTTACTTATGTACTTGTTTGTTATTTTTTTTTCTATATAGGTCCCTTGACGTTATTTTTTGCTTATTTTGGTCTGCATCCACTAAAGATATATGGAGTCATTACTATTTTTTTGGTATAACAGTACTACTCAATTACATTTTTTGGTAAGAAATTTTTTATTCCTTCATTTTCAAGATATGTACCATATTATATAATGACGACTTAATGTGTTAGCAAATAATTGGCAGAGAATCATCATTTGGGTGGTATCATTGCACTTCTCAAAATGCATAATAGATCCTTCTAAATTGCTTATCTTAGTTTGGTTAGTTTTCAAAAGTATTTCCTTACTAATTTATCATATTACTATATTGTTGTCTATTTATTAAATTTTTTTATTGAATTTTTTCTTGACCATTACCCTTTTTACTTGTAGGAAACATGTCTTGCCAATTTGCATGAATTACAGCATTCTTGGATCTTATTAAGCTTTGTGCTTTCCCTGTCCCATTGGTTTACTATTCTGCTTGTACTCTCTTTTATTTTATAATATATATATATATATATATATATATACCACAAGTTATTTATACAATTGTTCACATAACAATTGAATTATAACTTCCTAATAATTTATCTCTATATAGAATATAATTATTATATAATTGTTCATTTTTGTGCATATATGTATAAGTGAATTGGTGTTCATTTTTGTGCAGATATGTATTGATGAATTCATATCTATCTTTCAATGAATGGTAGTCTTAGAAGGTTGTATTTCTACCAACATCTTTACTGTAAGTGCCCATATTCTACCATAACCTAATTCATTTCTTCAATCTTTTAAAATTGTGACTAATTTACTTCAATTTTTCCATTTTAACTTAAACAATGTTACTATAATAGGTTTCCAGAGACACCAAGCTTGCTCTACAAAGTACAAAGGATGTCTTGAACATTGTTGTGCATGATTTGGGATTGCTAGCCTTTTTCTTCCTATTGTTATGTTAAGCCAAATATAGATATTATGTATTTTGTTTTTGAGGGATCTATTGTGTGTCTTATTTTCCTTCAAAAACTGTTATTTTTTGGCCTATTAATATATTCAATTGGGCATTCAAAAAAATGTTGTTTTTAGCCCAATAATCTATTCAATTGGGCATGTAGTTCAGTAATTGATACTTGACAATTGCAGTGGATCAGTGGATGCATGATATGAATGTAATGATGACTTTATTAGTTATTTTTATGTTATTTATTTTAGTATTTTAAAAATAATTATAATATGTTTGGAGTTTCAATTAGTAGATGTTAGGCATCTTTAATTATTATTCATTGTATTAGTAGAAAAATTCGGGGTGTTACAGTACTCCTACCTTGTAGGTACTCACACTTTAAAAATATTGAAAATGCTCTTAATTATATATAAAGTAGTTCAATTTAATTAATTTTTACACTAAATATATGTCATAACTATTTATTTTAGTATAATTATCTGTTACAATTTTTTTTATTTTATAATATAAATGTATGTTTTCAATTATTTAAGTTTAGTTTCATTTTATTTCTTACATTTTTATTTAAATTTTATATTTTCTCAAATATCCATGAATATAGTGGATACTCACAAATATATAAAAATTTCATATATATACTTGCTAAATGGATATCCACACTGAATGAAATGGGTGGCGAGAAGCTACTACTCAGCCCCACCCTATCCCATTATCCTTCCTAATCAACATATTCAAATTCATTATTAAGGTAACTTTTACTAAACTATTACATCACTCAATAACTTTATATTAAATGTGAATTTTATCGATCTAACCGTTGAATTATAACTTCATATCACCTTGTATGTTTATGTCAAATTTTGTATAAAATTTTTCATCTGTATATTATTCAATTCTCATTCTACACTGCATTCATTGTCAAGAAGGTGAAAGATATATTTTGTACCATCCCATGTAACATCCCGAATTTTTCTACTAATACTATGAATAAT